GACTTCTCCTTGTATAACTTTAAGGATCTTGACCAAAAAAAAAAAATCTCTTACCAGATAGTAAAGTGGTGAAAAGCCACAGTTCCCTGAGTGCTCTATACTCACTGATTATGGAGTGTGGCCAGAGTGTGCAACATGCTTTACAATTTCAAGCCACAGGGAGCAGCGTAGCGACATTTTTCCGCTGCGGTGATTTATTGTGGCAGACTGTAAATATCACATTTGTTCCTCAAATGGTGTGTGTTCTCCTGAGGCGTCCTCCAGCGATGTGTCGGCACTTTCACTGTTTCAGAGCGTCGGTCACTGAAGGGGTTAAATATAATGAACTTTCCCTGTTCTGCCCTCATTTATTTACAGCTATTTTCCCTCACGTGCATATGGATCATTTTTATGCAACACTTTTTCTGTCACACATCTGTCGCCCACTCACGCTGCTGACACAACAGTAGGAGCAAACCAGAGGAGCCAGGAATCAGACCCTGACAACATGCTCTGTCCACTGATCCAGATCTATGTTTATGTTTGTTTTTTCTTTCCCATAAATGTAACCAGTGAAAGTTCAGTGGATGCAAAAATCAAAAACCACACGGTGCACAAAAGTCATCTTGAAAAGTACTTTACTGAACGCGGCTCTGTTCACGTCTTTACTGCTCATCCAGATGCCATTGTGTTCTTGATCCATGAGGTGTAGTTGCAGACCTTGGCGTAGACCCCAGGCTTGTTTCTCAGAGCGCAGCCTTGTCCCCAAGACACGACTCCCTGGAGCTCTCCACCACACACCATAGGACCACCGGAGTCACCCTGAGGGTAAAAGAGAGGGGCGTGTACCTTCACTGATGCTGTGTGATCACTGTGCGACTTATTTTGGTTTTCAGTAATAATCATGAGTGGCGCTTTGGCCCAGAGGCAATGTCTCTGTCATTGGTGTGGAACCCCAGGGTTCACCTCCTGGACAAGTTCGAATCCCGGTTAGGGCGGTTAATACCTTCCAGTGGACTCACCACCCGCAGGAAGGTTTGGGGGGTTGGTACGGTGTAATGTGATTTGGATGGCGACTGCTGTCCCCGCGACCTGGTAACGGATAAGCGGATGAAAATGGATGGATGGATGGATCTTATTGTTCTTTGTTTTCCACACTCACACTGGCTTCAACTCAAGACCTGGTTATTGTCACGTACACCTCCTGAGCTTCTGCCACAAGTTCAAGGCCTATCCTGTCGCATTAGATGTTTCACTACACATCCTGAGTTTAACTTAATTCCTGTTTCAGAGTGTCTGTGTATTTTATATTGCAGGATCCAGCAGTTTCCCACCACTGCTGTTTACAATCACTTGACATGCCAACAGCATGAAGCACCTAAGCGAGGCATTAGTATTACCATACTTAAAAAATGTACACATAAATAAATGATCAATGTTTTTTGTTTTTGTTTTTTTTAATAATTACCGATGAGAGGCCCGTGTCAATTACACACTGTATTTACCTCGAAATTAAATCCACTGTGTGAGATTCTATTTCCTGTTACATTTTCACCACAGCTTATAGCAACATCACAGCAGTACAGGCTTAAAGTTTAGACTAATGGGGGCACAGCCACTTGAACTTTAGTGCTCCTGTGTGGGCAGCTGTGAACATTTCACCTAGACGATCATAAACACAAGTTCATAGTCTTTCAACAAAGACGACCAATCTGAAACCGTCCATTGTCTGGAAGCTGGAGCGTTTCTCACTGTCTGCTGCTAGTGACCGACAAGACAAAAAAAAAATATGCTCAGTGAATTTACAAGATCAACCAAGAAGTTGAAGAAGACTGATCAATTCAGCTAAATCTGTCGCAACACAAATCCTGCAGTTTTGGCTCGGAAGTCTATTATAAGAACGACAGTGTTGATTAAGCTCAGCCTCCTCTGAGTTTGTTCTGAGTTTGTCTTTGACATCCTGGGTTACCCATAGTTTGTTATTAGGGCAACACCGTACAGTCTTTGCAGAGGCAACCACATCCAAACAGAAATTAAGATAATCCGTAAAGCGGTGGGTAGCTCCCTCGATGTCCTCATCGTCTAGACTCAGTAGTACATCCCAGTCTGTGGTGTCAAGACTGTTTCTCAATTCATCCTTAGCTTAAGGAGTCCATCTCATTTGATGATCGACTGCCTTTGGACCATAGGGGTGTATTGTGGTTGGACGTAAACCAGGTTATGGTCAGACTTGCCCATAGGTGGCAGGGCGGTGACTCTGTATGTCTCTTTCACATTAGCATTCAGAAGGTCAACTGTCCTGTTACTCCTTGTGGGGCAATCCACCACTTGATGAAAGTCAGCAAGTGTAAAGTCCGGAGTGACCTGATTAAAGTTACCAGAAATCAGGATGAAAGTATCAGGGTGTTGTGTCCGCAGCCCTGCTATGACAGTGTGAATTTTCTCACAGGCATTCACCACGACAGCTTGCGGAGGGGTGTAAACACGTGACTAAACTTTCTCGGCAGATGGTATGGCCAGAGGCTAATGGCTAATAACTCTAAGTCTAGGCAACATAAAACTTTCTTTATAGATACATGTCCAGGGTTACACCAACGTTATTAACATACATGATGAGTCCTGCACCTTTGCTCTTCCCGCATGCCTTTGTGCATGCCATCCGCTATCTTTGCCTTTACTTTAGCCCTGTCTCTGCATCCTCTGTATCTCCTCTTTATCTCTGCCGGTATGTTGTGCCGTATTCCTTGCTTAGTCCCTTAAAGAGACGAGAAAACTGGCTCCTGTTGCCGCTTTAAAACTGCCGGTAACCTTGATATACATTTAATAGCAGTACTCCGTGAAAGGAGTAAAGAAAAAGCAAGAAAGGTAAAGTGAAAATGACGAAAACGGATTAGTGTTGCAGAGCGACCAGAAGGCTGCTGACATCAGCATTAGCACCATCTTGTTTCCTCTTTTCACTCGTCTTTCTTTTCTTTCCTTTCCTTCCAAGTGTTCTCTCCTCTCCTCTCCTCTCCTCTCCTCTCCTTTCCTCTCCTCTGCTCTCCTCTCACTATTTTTATATATTTTTCTTAACTTGCCTCCAGTCCCAGCAGCTCTATCAAGCCCCAGAAATGATTAAAGAAGATCCCTAAATGAGTGTGACACGGTTATAGAGCAACATGCTGGTGGAGCCTGCACATCTGATTAACATCAAAATGAGCAATATTTTGTCTGGCTATTGTGGATGAAATTAATTATGTAAACTGTCTGCAGGACTCATTTACATTTCTTGATTGATTTCGGTCCATTTTTGTATTCTGTATATGGGAGAAAAAAGGGAGGATGAGAGATACCCTCTGTCTTTTATGTCAGCATGTTGTGACTGGAAATTGCAGAAGGCATTTTGCCCCTTGGAAGTTCTATGCATTCGTAAGGTGTATCTAAACATTTTCTGAGAAGACTTCATTGTGCTGGCGTCAGTGAGCATTGAAAAACACATAACCCACACACATATCAGATATTTCTTTTCCTCTGCGTCTTTTTATGTTGCTCTATCTCTCACTGTCTTTTCTTTATGGGAGATTGCCTTATGAGATTTCTCAGAATTCTAGCAAAACCACTGTTTTCAGCTTTCCTCTCAACAAAATGAACACAGAGGGAACTCATCGAGCTTTGAGCTGTATCCTCTCGGAAGCCATCAACTTAAGCTGGGCTGGATAATAACATTGTGGTAGTCTGCTTGTGCTGTGCTGCAAAACATAGTAGTTTTTCTCAATTGCTAAAACACAAAACCTGGTTCCTGTAGCACAAACACCCAAACCTTTTCATCATTCCCAGAAGCACACACACGTTTCCCATAACCAAAAACACAATTCACCCGTGTCCACACATGTCTCAATATTCAAAACACTTTCTGCAAAACCTTACACAAAAGTGACCAAATAAATCATTTGTTGCACTACGTGTTCATTCTGCAAACACATGCTCTCAATATAATTAACTCAAGTTATCATAACATAAACTCAGAGACCACACCCTTCTCAAGTGAAAACACTCAGCTTGAAAATTGTTAACACACCAATCAGAATTGAGGGTCAATAAATAGAGCTTAGAGACATGCTCATGATCTTTGGAACAATGGATCCCAAGCATGCAGAGGTTGAGAGCCGAGGAAGAGGAAGAGGAAGAGGAAGAGGTAGAGGACAGCAAAGACAAGCAATTTCTGATGAAATCCGTGTCACTGTTGTTCATGATGTGGTGGTACATGGGAGGACAATGAAAGAAGCTGGCCAAGTAGTCCAGCCAAACTTAAGCCGTTTCACAGTTGCATCCATTGTTCGTACTTTCAGGAGGGAAAACAGGTCATTTGCCAGATTGTCACTATGTATTGTATCACAGTACATGCACAGTAATGTTGTAGTACATATAGACTGAATATCCACCGTATGCTGTGTAGTTTTTACTACAGTATACTGTGCCACAGTACATCATAGGTCAGTAATGGTAATTTTTGCAGAACTGAGAGGCAGCCATCTATTGTCCTCCTGTGTGTAACAAACACTAATGTAGTCTGTGTTTTGACAGCTTGTGTGTATTGTCTGAGGGTAAAGACTGACTGGGACCAAGAAGTTAGATGTTTGGACTGTTGGGTGTGAGTTTTTAAAATTGTGTGTGAAGATCTGACAAAATGGTGAGTTGTTCAAGGAATTGTGGCTTAGCAATCGAGAAAAACTGTAATGTAAGACATAATGAGTGTGACGGCCCAGTGGTTTTCAGGGATGCAGGAGGTTTTTCAGCTGGCAAATACTGCCATCAAACGGAATAGAGGGGTTACAGCAACTCCAGTCTTCTTTGGGTTGGATACAAATTGGTTGCCAATTGTTGCTGTGTGTAACTGTTGTGAAACATAATCATAATTATGGCTGTATATAATATATAGTTTTTTTGACAGTTTGGAATAGTTTTACTTTTTGGATTTCATCGAAGTGCAATTCAATGGTTTGATTTCATCTCCCCTGACATCTTTCTTTTGTATATTTCAGAATCTTGGAGCTCCAGCAGAATGGGGAAATGGAGATAATGAAGCTCAAGTGGTGGCCTAAGGACAGTCATTGTAACCTCTATAGCTCACTCCAAACACGGCAGCACGGCAACGCCCTGGACATCCACAGCTTCGCTGGCGTTTTCTGCGTCCTGGCCGCGGGCGTCGTCCTCTCTTGCCTTATTGCAGTGGTGGAAAGCTGGTGGTCACGAAGGAAGGGATCCAGGGTCCCATCCAAGGAGGTATGTGGATAAACAAAGAGAAACTATACAGATGTGTAGTACATGACCTGCAGTAATTCACAGCTCATCGATATAGAATAAGCACTAATATATATATACACACACACACACACGCACACACACTATATTACCAAAAGTATTCACTCACCCATTCAAATGATCAGAATCAGGCGTCCTAATCCCTTGGCCTGGCCACAGGTGTATAAAATCAAGTGCATAGTGCAAAGAGGTCGCCGACTTTCTGCACAGTCAATTGCTACAGAGCTACAAACTTCATATGACCTTCAGATTAGCCCAAGTACAGGATGCAGAGAGCTTCATGGAATGGGATTCCATGGCCGAGCAGCTGCAGCCAAGCCACACATCACCAAGTGCAATGCAAAGCGTCAGATGCAATGGTGTAAGAAGAAAGAAGTAGGAGAAACCTCTAATCTGCATAACCTCGGGTTTCATAACAGTGTACAGATCCAAGCAGTATAAATTACACAAAATGTCAAAAGTATGAGAAAGGAAAGTGGGACTGTTCGCAGGATGATTCAGTGTTACATCAAGGTACTGTTAATGATTAAAGACCAATGACACCAGTTCTGTGCAGAGTAATTCAATAAAAAGACATTTCTAAGAACTATTGGTTCCAGATGATTAAATGAGCAGCTTCTAGGCAAAGAAGCTGCTGTATAACTGCACATTACATCAGTAAGATTTAAGGAAAAGACATCAGGTTCTCCTGAATACCGGTTGTTAAACTCTTGTCATTTAATGATTTGACTCAAGTTGGAATTCCTGTGGTACACTATACAACCTGCAGTGACCTGCAGGTGATCAACACTGGCAGGTGATTAGTTGTATTTATCTCATGTCCTCTGGGCTGCTTGTTCGTTGACCTATTTTACTTAATTCCACTTGCTCCCCATGTACATTCATCTTTTCTCTTTAGAAACTGCCCCAGTACAGGGCCAGACTAATCCTACAGGATTTGTGAACCTCGGTGAAGAGAGCTATTAACTCACAGCCAGAGACTACTCCTATCTCTATCAGTTTGCCACAAATGCAAATTCCAACTGCATTGGCAAGTGCTTCCAAGCTGTGTGAAGAGACACAGAAACACACAATAAAACAGCAGGCTCAGCCTTAACTGCTTTTGTTTATTTTTTTTTTGTATATAAATCTAGTTGCTATTACAGATTTTTAGATACTGTAAATCCTATGTGTTGTTCATTTTAGTACCAAGCACACACTGATTTTCTTTTGTACTGTTCCCATCTCACCTTCTGTCAACACAGTCACAGCTTTCGCTCTTGAATTATATAAATATATATATATATGTGTGTGTGTGTGTGTGTGAGAGAGAGTTAGAAGAAAAGGAGAAGTTCTGGAATGAGCTGGATTGGATGATAAAGAGTATCCCCAGGGGAGAGAGAATGGTGATTGGAGCAGACTTTAATGATCATGTAGGGGAAGGGAACAGAGGAGATGAGGAAGTGATGGGCAGGTTTGGCATTAGGGAGAGAAACTTAGAAGGACAGGCAGTGGTAGATTTTGCAAAGAGAATGGAAATGGCTGTGGTAAACACCTATTTCCAAAAGAAAGAGGAACACAGGGTGACGTACAAGAGTGGAGGCAGGTCCACACAGATAGATTATATTCTATGTAGAAGATGTAATCTAAGGGAGATTAATGACTGTAAGGTGGTGGCAGGTGAGAGTGTAGCCAAACAACATCGCATGGTAGTGTGCAAGATGACGATGGAGTTGAAAAAAAGGAAGAGAGTGAGGACACAGCAGAAGATCAAGTTGTGGAAACTAAGGAAAGAGAAATGTTCTGAAAACTTCAGGAAGGAAGTAGGGACAGTTCTGGGCCGTGTTGAGATCAGTAATGAGGTCATTAGAGGGACAACACAGACAGGAAGGCTAGGAGAAAAAGCTAGAGAAGCCAGATTGAGATGGTTTGAACATGTGCAGAGGAGGGACAGTGGATACATTGGTAGAAGAATGTTAGAGATGGAGCTACCAGGTAGGAGAAAGAGAGGAAGGCCAACGAGGAGATATATGAATGTAGTGAGGGAGGACATGCAGATAGTTGGAGTCATAGTAGAAGATGCAGAGAACAGGGAGAGATGGAAATCAATGATTCGCTGTGGCAACCCTTGAAAAAAAAGAGACAAAGCCGAAAGAAAAAGAAGATATACACATACTGTATACACACACACACACATGTGTGTTTATTAATGAAATGTTTTTTTTTCAATATATGTTTATTTATATATACTGTATAATGATCTCTTGAAAGCCAATACCAACCCTTGGAGCCACACGTTGCAGATCCCTGTCCTAGCCCTTTACCATAAGAGTCAAGATTCAAAGTTCAAAGAGTCTATTTTCATATACAACTAGAAAAAAGTTATATAAAATTAGAATATTGTAAAAACATAGAAATGCAATATGTACAAAAAGTACTTTCATTAATTATAATGCCAAAGTACCTTGCCTGTACAAAACTGTCTGATGTGCATTGAGCAATGAATAACCTTATCTATAACAAATATATGGCCAATTCTTTTTTTTAATCCAAACTGTAATGTAAAACTATTGAATGTGGACCTGCAAGAATGTCCCCACAAAGACAAAGTATCTCAGTAAGTATTATATTTTACCCCACAAAAAAATGTCCACACGTGTAGTTATATCAGGAACACACACAGTCAGAGCCCCAGTCCCCTGCTCAGTTACCAGCTTTAATCTGTCATTCAGAACAGTAGTTACGTCCACCGCTGAGCACCACAAAGACACCAAACCTGCAGCCGAATCTAAGGTCATGTTAAGCCCAGTGTGGTTCAACTGTGACACCTATGCTCCCCCACTAGCTTCATTAGACGCCGAGAGCAGCCAGTGGAATCAACCCCTGGATGAGTGCAGATATGGGGGTGCAACCATGAACAGGAGAGACAGCAGGGATTTAAAGGCCTTAGCCTTTGATTCTCTGGGTAGGTCTTGTTCATTGGTTTTCACGTTGAGTCACCAAACAGGAAAAGACCCCGGTGTATAAAGAAGTGGGGTGAAAGGACCCACTGATCACCTTTGGAAACAGCTCTGTTATATAGTGACTAGTATTTATATGTGTAATGGAGAGAATATGGTGATGTAATGTGGAATAAGGTGATGAGGCACATCATTCAAACCCAGAAAATGACAAACCGTTTGAGTTTAATACTGGGATGAAATTAATTTGGAAGGGAGAGCAGTCAGTGGTGGAAGTTAAGTCTACTCAGTCAGCCATTGCTTGGACGTTTGACCTTTATCCTTCACCCTGTTGAAGCATTGACATATCGATTGCCATGACTTTAAGCACTGAACCTACAGCAATAGTGTGTAATTCAAAGAGCTGGATCAATGAACAGACTTTCAAACTCCCTACAACCATTCTTTTCCAATGTCAAAAGTTGGTCATCATGCACTAGACGTGTTTTTGTTTTGTTTTTTTAATTATTATTATTACTGCTGAATCTTTCAGACGACAGCACTGCTCTCTCACTTTATTAAATCTTGTGGACTATTTTGATTATCTTTATATAAACGCAGCTGTCACGTTTTCTTCTCTCAGGCAGCTAATATCATAAATACATGTATGATGTTGCATTTTATACTTGGTATACTAAAGAAAATTAATTTTACAAAAGTCAAAATTGTACTATTAAAATTATTAAATATTATAATATTATTATACTATTAAAAACCCTGCTAAAAGCTAACTGATGTATTGTAGCACCAATAAAAAACTACCAATACAGAATACACACATGCTATCATGACTACTATGCACTCTCATTTAACCTGCTCCTTCCATCATGTCAGGTCTGTGTTAATAGGACAAATCCTCACACCTTGTGTCAGATATGCTATATCATAAGAGCAGTTTAAACAAGTTGTATATTTGTTCAGCTTCCAGATGCTTCTTAAGCTCCGCTGTTTATCAGATCATTGCTGCTCTGGCCAACAGCAAAAAGAAATTTTACCCACAATGACACACCATACACTGTGTGCAAGATTGATGGATTCACTTAAAAATGGTTATAAATGGCATGTGTTTATCCATCACTCCACATGCCTGCAATAATTACCCGGCTGGTCACATATATGCAGCTATACATGCTCTCTGTGCCAATGGAACCACACAGCTCATTCCTCAAAGTCCAGTTCTGCCTAACATTGTTTGTGTCTGTTCCTCATACATATTGAAATGTGCCTAATAGATGGTTTTCCGATAATTGTTATTACCCATGATGCATCGCGCCGTTGGCCATGTTGTGTGGCAAAAGACGCAAATAGGGAGACGTAAACAATCGATAATGACAACAAAAGACAAGAATATTAAATCGCCGGAGGTCGATCAGAAGAAATTGTTGTGTAGAGATTCACTAGACACAATTACAAAGGCAAGATACTTGGACAAGTTGAAAAGCAGATGGAAAAGACCCATACGAAGTCAACAAAGCTAAATGGAAGCGGGCGGACATTGAAAATTAGCCAGACAATGTATATAATGTGGTATTTATTAACACAATAATACAGCGTGTTAATGTGAAAATCACAGTTGCATGTGCGGATGTATGTCTTTTGTAAACATCATTAGAATAACAGTTTGAGGATTTACGTTTGCATTGTGTGCATTTGTCATGTATGCAAAGTACATTTTGATATATTTTACTTTTATTGACATTGAACATATGAATTAAATAAAAGCATAATGTAATTACCTGAAATCAAGTGTTCAGAACAGACCTTGTAATGCCTTTTGCTTGGATCTGGGTTGAAATTAGCATGGTTAATACGTAAAAGCCATAGCATCTTTCTTTCTGCGGAAATATCCTCCATCAGCTTCCCTCGGTGACAGATCCTTTATGTCAAAAAACGTTATCTTGCGATGTCCATTCCCAGATCGGTTGGTAGAACCCCACACAACACAGGTATTTACCATTATCGGTGTTATTTTATGTATTTAAT